CTGCCTGACTTGTTTCACTTAATATTATTCTTTCAAGGTCCATCCATGTTGTTGCAAATGGCAGTATTTCATTCGTTTTTATAGCTGAGTAGTATTCCATTGTGTAGATATACTACATTTTCCGTATCCACTCATCCGATGATGGACATTTGGGCTGGTTCCAACTCTTGGCTGTATATATTGTTGGTGGGACTGCAAAATGGTGTAGCCTCTATGGAAAATGGTATGGAGGTTCCTTATACAATTGCAGATAGATCTACCATATGACCCAGCTATCCCACTGCTGGGAATATACCCAGAGGAATGGAAATCATCAAGTCGAAGGTATACCTGTTCCCCATTGTTCATTGCAGAACTCTTTACAACAGCAAAGAGTTGGAACCAGCCCAAATGTCCATCATCGGATGAGTGGATACGGAAAATGTGGTATATCTACACAATGGAATACTACTCAGCTATAAAAACGAATGAAATACTGCCATTTGCAACAACATGGATGGACCTTGAGAGGATTATATTAGATGAAACAAGTCAGGCACAGAAAAAGAAATACCACATGTTCTCACTTATTGGTGGGAGCTAAAAATAAATAAATAAATTCACTCACACACACACAAAACGGGGGGGTGGGGGAAGAAGATATAACAACTACAATTTTTTGAAGTTGTTACAACAAGCAATCGGAAAGGACATTGTTGGGTGGGCGGGAGGAGAGGGTGGAGAGAGGTACACACAAAACGGGGGGGTGGGGGAAGAAGATATAACAACTACAATTTTTTGAAGTTGTTACGACAAGCAATCGGAAAGGACATTGTTGGGTGGGCGGGAGGAGAGGGTGGAGAGAGGGAGGTTTCGGTAATGGACCATAATAATCATCCACATTGTATATCGACAAAATAAAAATTTAAAGGGAAAAAAAGAAAAGATGAACCATTGTAAAAAGCACCAAGGCCAGACAGTTTCATTGCTAAATTTTGTCTAACCATTGAAGAGCTAATCAGTGTTATTTTAATTATTCCAGACAAATGAAGAAAAATGTGGACAGCTTACCTATTTGTTTTTATTTCACTTTATTTTATTTATTTACTTTTGGTGGTTGGCTGGTACAGGGATTGAATCCTGGACCTTAGTGTTACTAGCACCATGCTCTACTCAACTGAGCTAACTAACCTACCAGCCCTCAGTTGTTCTCTTTTTTAACAACTTTATTGATAGGTAATTCACATACCATACAATTCACCCATTTAAAATGTAGAATACGGTGGTTTCTAATATTCACAGACTTGTGTAGTCATCAGCACATTTAATTTTAGTACATTTTCTTCACCCCAAATCCCCCTAGGCACCCAGTTTCTGTCTCTATGGATTTGCCTATCCTGGATACCTCATATAAATGGAATCTTATGATATGTTGGTCTTTGGGACTGGCTTCTTTCACTTAGCATAATGTTTTCAAGGTTCATCTGTGCTGTAGCATGTAATAATACTTCATTCCTCTTACAGCTGAATAATTTTCCATTGTTTGAATATACCACATTTTTATTTATCTACTCATCAATTGATGGACATTTTGGTTGTTTACACTTTTTTGGCTATTATGAATAATGTTGCTATTAGCATTTGCTTACAAGTGTTTTTGTGGACGTATGATTCCATTTCTCTTGGATATAAACCTAAAAGTGAAATTGCTGGGTCATATGGTAACATTATGTTTAACTTTTTGAGGAACTACCAAACTGTTTTTCAAAGCAGCTCTACTATTTACATCTCTATTTGTTTTCTGCTCCTCATAAAAAGAACTATAAACAGAGATTTGTAATGATAAAAAGATGCAAATTATGCTAAGTAAAAAAAGCCAGACTTAAAGGCTATGTAAGGCACGATTCCATTTATATGACATTATGTAAAAGACAAAATTAGGGACAGATAACAGATCAGTAGTTGCCAGGGGCTAGAGATGTGGAGAGAGGAGTGACTACAAGGGGCAGGAAGGAACTTTTTAGGGTGATGGAAATGTTCTATATTTTAACTGTGATAGTTACACAACTGTTTGTATTTGTCAAAATTCATAGAACTGTACATCTAAAAAAAGTGCATTTTATTGTATGTGGATTAAACCTCAGTAAGTTGGGCCACAAAACCAGAAATTCTTAATGAAGTATAATCAAGGAGAATCTAGCTATTTATCAAATTCTAAAGGAATATACTGTGACCAAGTAAGGTTTATTTTAGGAATGCAGGATTAGTTCTATAACAAGAAATCTGCCAACATAACTTATTATGTCAACACATTAAAGGAAAACATGTAATATAGAGACTGTAACCGAAAACGAACAGCAAATATTCTAAAAGGTATAACACTAAAATCCCATTCAGAAACTAGACCCTGATACCCAGTATTAACATTATTATTCAGTGTTATCTTGGAGGTTTTCATAAATATAATGAGCAAGGAAATTAAATAATTACTATAAACATTGGGAAAGAGATTAAATGATCTCTTTTTCCTGATGACATGATTGTATATCTAGAAAACTCATGGGAATAAACTATAGAATTACTGTAATGTGGTAAGATGGCTAGATATAAAAGTACAAAAATCAGCTTTCTTTATATTATCAATGAAAATAGGAATATGTTCCATTCACTGACATAACAAAACTGTAAAATACATATGAATAAATTATGAGGAAAGTACAAAATTTGAATTAAGGTCTTTACAAATAGATAAACCATATTCTTAGATGAGAAGATGTAATATCCACTCTACAAAAGTTAAAAATGAGTTAGATTTTTAAAAATTGATTAAAGTGCTCTTCAAGTTTATAAAGAAGGGTAAGTGAGACTAGCTTCTAGGGGAACAAAAAAGAAATAGTGAAAGGGACTTCCCTTACCAGATTTTAAAACCTATTTTAAACCTCTTATAATCAATGTGACATTGGCATAGGATTGGGCATAAAGATCCATGGAACAGAATAGAGAATCAGAAATAGATGCAATGTGTCTGAAAATTTAATATTTGACAGAGGTGGTATTTCAATTTAGTGGGTTTATTTAATAAATAATGGGAATCATAGAGATACTTGACCAGAAAGCTAGATACTGTCAATAAAATTGGCTGCATAAGAATTAGAAAATTTTCTATAGCAAAAAATTCCAAAAGCCATTTGTCAATAGTCGTGATAGATTCAGAAAAAGGCACTTTTGCAAACAGCACTGATTTTAGCTGTAGTGTTAATATTCATATTATATAGAGATCCTATAATTTGAAAGGAAATTCACAGAAGAGCAAATGCAGAGTAGTTCTTAATCATTAAAAGAAATCTCAACTGTTAAGATCTTTTGGGAAAACAATCTGAGCAGCTTCTGTTAGAACTGAAAACATACATACTTTTAATCCCAGCAGTTTCATTCTTCAGAATCTATACCCGTAAGTAGATATATGTACAAACGTGTTTATTACAGCGTTGTTCATGGTGTCAAAACTAGAAACAAAATGTATGCCCATCAAGACAGTAATGATTGGATAGATTACTGGTTAATAATACATGAAAAAGTAAGAAGCCAGTGAAAAAACAAATTTAGAGGTATACCTCTGAAGGATTTTCGTGAGGTTTTAATTGAGTTCACTTTGTTAATTGTATGTATATAATATCCCATTTTTTGAAAATTAGTCACTAAAAACCAGTGTATGTGTATTTATGAAAAAGATAGGGTTACAGGAGCAGAGATAAAAGTATGGAAGGGCTTGTGCTCAGTTTTTAACAGGAAACAACCTGTTCTGGGGTTGGAGAGTAGGGGCAGATCAAGGGTCTACCTTTAGATGCTGCTACCCTAGACTCTCTCTCCTGATGTGTGTTAAGTTGGCAAAAAAAAGGGTGTTGCAGAATAACATATATTGTATGGCTTTATTTTGGATCTGTGGTAAGTGTTCTGTGTTTATATGAGCAAGGGGAAAAGTATAGGAGAGTGAACATAGGTTACCATTATTTGTCTCAAGGGTGTGGGAGAAAATTTGCCTTGTATATTCTCATATTGTATAGTTTCTTAACAAGCACATATTGCTTTTGTAATCTGAAAAAAGTCTAATAAAATTAATTTTAAAAACTGAAATGTTATAGACTTATGTTTTTACATAAAGAACCCTTGATTTTGAAAGGCTGTGCGTAAATGTCTAAAACCAGTATCATGTTGCCTACTTTTTTACTGCTTTTTTTTAAAGCCATAAAATACCATAGTTTTAAAGTAATTGTTAGGCATACATCAACGTACGTCTGTGATAACTTTTGCCTAATTCAAATTCAAATCTTGAATTATTAAGCCCTTCCTCTTTTTTTTTTTTTTTTTTGGTGGCTGGATGGCCAAACCCTGTGACCTTGGTGTTATAAGGCTGTGCAAGCCCTAGTGTAATTTTCAGCTGAATTCTGTCAACAATGAATTGTAATAAAATTACTTGTGTAACTGAAAAGAGATGATTCTATTGGTATTGGTGGCTTTTCTTTGTATATATAGGTCCTAATCAAACAGGAAATTCAAAGGAAGAGTGGTTATGCCATCCAGGCTGATGAAGAGCAGTTGCGAGTTCAGCTAGATACAATTCAGTGTGAACTAAATGCACCTACTCAGTTCAAGGTAAGCACCTTTAAGAGCATAAAGGTATAATTTGTTTCATGTGGATCCATGGAAAAATGTTAAGTAATATTCAGACACAAGAGTTTTGTATATTTGTGTTTACTGAACATTTTTCGTTAATTGAAACTTCCTTTCTAAAGTAAACTCTTAGTCATGATTCTTTTGGCTTGTATAAATGTACAGAGGGAGAATGAGAAATTTTTAATAGATGGTTCTAAAATCATCCTTTCAAAAGAAAACACTATCTTTTAGAAGTGATTACTGTTGTTAGTGGTTGTTATTTGACTCAGTCTTATTTTTAGGGCCGACTAAATGAATTGATGTCCCAAATAAGGATGCAGAATCATTTCGGAGCAGTCAAATCTGAAGAAAGATATTACATAGATGCAGATCTGTTAAGAGAAATCAAGCAGGTGAGTGTTGCATGAGGATGCACTTTTTAAAGTATAAATTTACCACTTACATCTATTAGAATGGCTATTACCCAAAAACCAGAAAATAAGTGTTAGTAAGAGTGTGGAGAAACTGGAACCTTTGTGCACTGTTAGGGAATGTAAAATGGGCAGCCTCCATAGAAAATAGTATGGTGGCTCCTCAAAAAATTAAAAACAGGGGCCGACCCCATGGCTCACTCGGGAGAGTGCGGCGCTGGGAGCGCCGAGGCCGCAGGTTGGGATCCTATATAGGGATGGCCGGTGCGCTCACTGGCTGAGTGCGGTGCGGGCGACACCAAGCCAAGGGTTACGATCCCCTTACTGGTCACAAAAAAAAAAAATTAAAAACAGGGGCCGACCCCATGGCTCACTCGGGAGAGTGCGGCGCTGGGAGTGCCGAGGCCCGAGGTTGGGATCCTAGATAGGGATGGCCGGTGCGCTCACTGGCTGAGTGCGGTGCGGGCGACACCAAGCCAAGGGTTACGATCCCCTTACTGGTCACAAAAAAAAAAAATTAAAAACAGAATTAACCATATGATCTAGCAGTTCTACTTCTGGATATATATAACCAAGGAAGTTGAAAGCAGTGACTTAGATATTTGTACACCATGTTCATAGCAGCATCATTCACAATAGCCACAGTGTGTAAGTAACCAAGGTCCATCAACGAATGGATAAACAAAATGTGGTATATATACACACAATGGAATATTATGCAGCCTTGAAAAAGAAGGAAATTGTGATACATGCTACATACAACATGGATGGACTTTGAAGATGTTATCCTAACTGAAATAAGCCAGTCGTAAAAGGACACATATTGTATGATTCCACTTATACTTGTATGAAGTACCTAGAGTAGTCCAAAGTACAGTGTGGTGGTTGCCAGGGGTTGAGGGGAGGAGGGAGTGAGGAGTCATTGTGTAATGGATACAGAATTTCAGTTTGGGAAAATAAAAAGTTCTAGAGATAGGTGGTGGTGATTGTTGCACGATATGAATATACTTAATGCCACTGAACTGTAAAATGGAAAGAATGGCAAATTTTATGTTATGCCTATTTTACCACAGTAAAAGGTGGTGAATCAGCTCCCCCCACTATAATAAAAAGTGAATCAGCACCCTAGCACACCCCCAAAAAGATGAATTTAGGTGTGCTAGAGTTCTCTAGACCTTGCTACTTAAAGTTGTAGGCAGCAGCAGGTAGCACCTGGGAGGTCATTAGAAATGCAAAATCACAGTCCTTACTCCAGTCCTACTCAGTCTGCATTTTATCAGGGTCACAGAGTGATTTGAATTCATGTTGAAGTTTGATAAGCATACCTGTGGGAAGGTCGGGATGATACCTTCTCAACCTGTATGCCACATGTAAGTTACCAATATGTTGAGTTATTATCCCCTCAGCGGATCTGGGTGGAGTTTAGGGTGGCCAGAACCTCCAGCCATTTGTCTAAGGCTCATGTTATATGAAAAAGTTGAGGAGTACTGCTGTAGCTTATTTTTATTAGAAGAAATACAGATCGGTTTACTGAAAGCTGTCTAACCATTGATTGTGTCTAAAGGAAACATATTAAGATGGTGAACTTTGTGGAACATATTACGACTGTTGGCATGGCCCTGAGGATTTTAGATGGTTATAAATGTCACCAATAAATCCAATTTTATTATGTGCTTTAGAATGGATATTGCTGTTTTATCCAACTAAAAACTTGTTTGGCTCATACCTTCTTGGAAAGTACACACACACACTCGATTATATTTCATTGTTTAATTATTTGCAATAAAATTAACTGAGACAGATTCTAGCATATTGTCATGAAGAGCTATCTTAAAGAGTTTATATATGCAGTAAAACTGGGAATAATATAAACAACTATCTTTTTAAAATGATGAAAAGCAGTATATTGTTTTGGGATTAAATCATGGCTCACCATCTACTTTATGACCTTGGGCAGGTTACTTACCTGTGTCTCACTTTCTTTAACTGTAAAGTAGAGATGATGATGGGACCCTAGAGGGTGCTCAAAAGTATTTTAAATGAGCTAAGTGAGTTAATATCCGTAAAGCTATTAAAACGCCTTAACACTTGGGAAGGACTCAAAAAGTGTTAGCAATTGTAGTTGTCATCACCGTTTTCATCACAGTATACTGTATACTTCAAACCGTGAAAATTCTGTTTTCAGAATGATTATTTTGCTAGTAATCTACATTTGAGTACCTTCTTTCAGTTCTGTTTTAATATACCTTTTTTTTTAACCAAAGCTTGGAATAGCTCTCTGAAAAACATAACTTCTGTTGAAGATATTATTCATTGTGTATTTGATTTTACAGTTCTTTAGAATGTCTTTCACTGTCAGTCACATAAAAGTGTTATTAGCAAAAGTAAGTATGTATGTCTGCTATATGTAGTTACTAGGTACTGTATTGCTAGTAAAATAGTAAAAACTGGAGTCCTTTTCTGTGAGTATCTTACTGTTTACAAGAGTAATACATTAATATTTTTTTTCTTCAACTCATTTTAGCATTTGAAACAACAACAGGAAGGCCTTACCCACTTGATTAGCATCATAAAAGATGATCTAGAAGATATAAAGTTGGTAGAACATGGATTGAATGAAACCATTCACATCAGAGGTGGTGTCTTTAGTTGACAGTTCACAAACTTGTTTTAGAGGTTTGTGAAATCCATCTTCTTACTGCATCAGGCCTTTCTTAAGAGTGAAACTGACCACATGGAGAAAAAGAAAAAAAAATCCTTTCCTGGCTTGGTTTTCTGAGAAGGTTACTGACAAATTACTGTTCATCAAATCTGAAATAACATAGTCACCTCACAGCTCTTCAAAGATAACCTTTGAAAGATTTATATCTAAACGCTGTATTTACCTTAAAAAGAGAAATACATAATTACCAAAAGTATATGTACTATTGTACATTTATACAACAGCATTTTCTTAAATATAATCAGTGTTTAATGATTATTCTCCATTGACCCTGTACTCTGCTTTCCATAGCAAGTAAATATGAAATGTCTACTTTGCACATAATAAACTATAATTACTTGCCTGTTGGATTTGTACTTCAGATTATAAATGTACATCAGTTTTTATATCTGTGAATTTAACTGTGGGAGGAGTAAAGAAAGTCCAAAAGTATTTAATGATTAATGTGGTTTTCTTTTTGTTCTATAAAGATATGAAAATATATTTTTATATTATTTTACTTATTTGGAATTTACAGAATACACCTAAACAATTAGTATATAACAAAGTTACTTATCATTTTTGCAACTCTTGTTTTTTAAACATTTTTATTTCTAAAAAAGATGAAAACTTATAAATAAATTCTTAATTTCTAATTACTTTTATATAATGCTCTTTGGTGCTTTATTTTATTTGGCTATTGGGGAATGACCATTTATGTCCACATAGGTACTACATTCATAATCATAATCACAATTCAGGAATTTTAGTGTTTTAAGTCTGATTTTTCCATTCAAAGGATTTTTGTCAATGCTGATATATTTTGACTAGGATATGTCAAACAAAACTTATTTCAGATATCATTTAAGATAAAGAATTCCCTAATATATCATTAGCATCTGAAAACATTAGAAAATCTGAGACATAATAATGTGAAATAGTGATTCTTTAACAACTGGATCATTTTAAACAATATTTCTGACTACAGACTATACGGTGTTGGCCCCTCTTGAAATGCTTAAACTTTGCACTTCTGTGTGATGCTTTGACTTATATTGAGAGGTGTTATAAGAAACAGTCCCGTGAATCCTGCTGCTATATTTACTGTGGGGATGGTGAAGAGTGTGACACACTGTATATTCAGAGTTCAACCCCTCAGAACCCACTGAAGGGATTTCTCCTCAGTTGCAGCCTAGGTTATAGTTGTGTTGGAGACTGGAAACTTTAAAACTGATTATTTCTTGCCAAGATAGCTGCTAGAAGTTTGCAGCCACTTTTGTCAAGCTTATGGCCTGCAAATTTGTTACACTACTCTATATACTACCCTCTTTCATATTTTCCTACCCATTGCCTCAATTCCAACAGTGTTAGGAGAGGCATTTCTTTCTCTTCTTGTCCACATTTTCTCTTTGTCCCGGAAGATAGGCACTTTGATCATTCCCATCCACAGGGCCACATATGGAAGGAGTTTCTGTCCGTCTGCACTTCCTTATAGTAGGAAGAATTGTTGCCCTAATTGATCAGAATTGTTCATTGAGCAACATAAGCTAGTAAGTAGATCACTAGTCATGCTTACCATGCTAACTTCTCTAGCTTTTCATTTTTCATATTCTGATATTGTTAGGTTCCTAGTCCCCACAAGATAAATACACATAGACAGTATGCCTTTTAAAGACAGACCCAGTTATCCTAGGTTTCAATCCCACTTGTGACTGCATATGTAAAGCAGGCCTGTGATCCTTGTTCATATAGCTCGTTAGATACCTGGAATCAGTACTACAGGTGTCTTCCAAGCAAGTGATAACCAAGTGCTATAGACTGAAGTTTGTGCCTCCCAAAAATTGGGTGTTAAAATCCGAACATCCAATATGATGGTATTAGGAGGTGGGGTCTTTGGGAGGTGATCAGGTCACGAGGATGGAGCCTTCATGAATTGGATTAGTGCTCTAGCATGTGAGGACATAGTGAGATGGCAGTCATCTGCAGTCCAGGAAGAGGGCCACCAGGAACTGTATCTGCCTGCACCTTGATTTTGGACTTTCCAGTCTCCAGAACTATGAGAAATAAATTTCTGTTGTTTATAAACCACCCACTCCATGGTACTGTTGTAGCAGCCCAAACCGACTAAGACCAAGTTCTAAATTTGGGTGAGTGGGAGAAAGACCCATTTTGACCTCAGAACTAAGTTGTGTTCTGTAACACAATATACCAGAAATTCTGCATTTAGTCCACAACTGGCTAGTGGGTCTGGTGGATGGTCGTCACTCAAAATTTTGAACATAAAGAGAATGGGAGAAAGACCCATTTTGACCTCAGAACTAAGTTGTGTTCTGTAACACAATATACCAGAAGTTCTGCATTTAGTCCACAACTGGCTAGTGGGTCTGGTGGATGGTTGTCACTCAAAATTTTGAACATAAAGAGAGGTTAAGTGGTAGAATAAAAGCACATTGAACCCTTAACACCTACTTTAGATTTTATGTAGCTTTTCTGTACCTTTGAAAGTGGCCTTAAGCTCTTTTTGAAATACTGGCAAAGTGTAAACAAGTCTCAGTTACCAAAGCCTATGCCTGAATCAGTCACTACTCAAGTACCATAATACCTCAAGAAAAAGGCTACTGTACTATATAACTTCATTTTTCCTTGCTTGACACAGTCATTCAGTACCCTACCTTCCTGAGTTAACGTGATACTGTATGCAAAACATTTTGTAAACTTGTATTTACAAAAATGTAAGTGTTTATATGTCGAGGGAAGATGAAAAGATTGAGGGAAGAGGTGACACTATCTGAAGGCAAAGTTTGATCCTTTAAAGAGATGAGTAGAATATCTTTAAAACTCTAATTCAGGTATTATATTTGTGTTAACCAGTAACAGTACTGGACATTTTAATGTCTGGCAATTCTACTGAAATTATATCTAATAATCTTAAAGTATTTTATTGAATTCAATCAGAAGTATACATTTTTTTTAAATCATAAGATTAATATAGAAATAAGTGAAAAGTTAATTCTGTGACATATCCGGACCAACTTTCTGAATTTGCAAAAGGAATAACAAATATACAGTTCTCATTTTATCAAGTGACTTTGCCAACAACTGAAAAATATATCATTTTGATCTCCTGTGGGATCCCTATAGTATATTAAAAGTAAGGAATAAGAAAGGTAAAGAGTATATCAAACTACAGAGCAACAAAGAGATTTACAGCAGAAGCAGTGATTAAAACGATGAATGTCCCAAATGGTGGAAGGAGCACTTTGCCAGAGGATGCAGAAGGATGGGTTTTGGGACTGGCAACAGGAACTGGACCTGGAGCTGTGTAAGAGAACACACAGTCATTGACATGTCATTTTTGTTATAAAGTATCATCCACCTATACCATATATCTTGAATATGTAAACAACTACACTGAAGAGTTAGCACGTATCTGAAATACTTCCAAGCAGGAGCAATTTTCAAATAAATGTAGTTCATTACAGATATCAGGCTATATTTCCATATATATCATCAGGGCGTGCTGCTGTAGATTTTATTTAGGATTTCATCAGCTTTTTGTTTGTGGTTTTTTTGTCTTGGTCTTATCAGAAACCCTCGACTTGGTCTTATCAGCACCATGCTCTAATCATATAATCATAGGCTTTTTAATCTCTATATATCTAAAACAATTGTTTT